TATATGACGTAATTTATTAATGATAACAGATGACATCATTAATTCATTTTTATATATAGATTTATATATAGATATGGATCTAATTGACTAAATAGTCACATGGATACAATAATCAACATTTTATAATCTGTAATAGTTGCGATTTAGTATCACAATAATTATTCTACCACAAATTATTATCAGAATCGACCGACTTGTACACCACTCGATTAGATTAACGCGAAGAAATAGAATACAAGATACTCTCAATATATGAAATTATGAAAGCCAATGAACCAATTCATTCTAAATTTTTTGTAAAATTTGTATCAAAAAATTTTTATATATTTCTTATATAGAATATTACTTGAGATGTTGAATCTGAGCCCTAGATCATGAGATATTTCTCCGTCAAAGTACTGTACTCTTTTTCATTCTCAATAATATGTATGACCACGCGGTTTTTGATTATCATTATCATATCAAATAAACAAATAACAGAATATTTTTTTCTATAGTGAGAAGCCAAATCAATATTCATTTAAATGTATAAGATTACTTTAACTTATACTAGAGTATTTATATTCACTATACAAATAGCGTGTGATGCAGCGTCAATTGGCACTACAAAGATTCAATTGCACAAAAAAATATGATGGACGATATGATGAACGATTCAATTTTAATATCGATCGATATACTGCAGTACAATAAAAAAAGAATGAATTCTAGAAGTAGCACAATTCTTTGAGATAGTTATTACATTCATAGTGACATGTCAGTTTGTGGTGGTAATTAAATTAACTGAGTACTTTAATTTAAATCATAAGGGTAAAATATGTCATTTAAATAATAGAATAAATTAACAAACGAATAATCATACGCAAAATTCAAAAGTTTAAAAATCATCCGATATCAAAATCAATATCATAAATTCGATATCATAAATTAAAATCTCTGGAACTAATTTACAATATTTGTGCATTGAATAGAAAAGTCAGTATTTATCAGAGAAAAAAAAAACTCTGTAATATTCATTACATGATAATCATTATTTATGGAAAAAAAAACCGGAACGTGTCTTTTACCATGCTTATCAAAACTCCGATCGCATAAAAAAAAATTTTAGATTTTTTAGATTTGTTATAAAATTGTCAATTATCTCAATTTCTCTAGAAAAGAACATTTCAAAAAAATCCCCAGTCTTCTATAAACATTGACGCTTTAAGGTATAAATATATTTATCATACGTGTAGTTATCCTTTAAATATCTTATTAACTCGTATAAGTAGGTTTCTCTACAGATTTAAAATTTTTATTCTCTTGCAAAGTTGATTAATTAAAATCTTCCTTAATAGTCGTGTTATAACTAAAAGCTTTTACAAAAACACACCTTTGAATAATTACTTTATTTATTATTAATCAAGCCCCCTTACCTCTCGCGTCATCAATCATGAATATTCATCGACTTCTCGATAATTCCGAAGAGGTTTATTCTTCCGTTGTTTTTAATAAAGAATTCAATGAAGACAATAATCAAGAGTATATTAATCAAGAGGCGCCAGCCGAAAATAAGAATGTTGGACCCGATTTTATTTTTAGTGGAAATTTATCGACTTATGATTACTTTGCAAGTCGTGATAATCGAAATTCATCTGGTCGTACTTTATCACCGCTACCTTCATTTATTCGACCCTATGAATTTTCTTCTTTATCTCCAACTAATAGTAAAGAAAAAAACATTTATTATGAGCCACGAGAGAGACTTTTACTCGATGGCGCAGAACTTTGGTCTCAATTTTATCGTGTTGAAAACGAAATGATCATTACAAAATCGGGCAGATGCATGTTTCCATTATTAAAATATAAACCTGTGAATCTTGATCCATCTGCTAAATATTCTTTTATAGTTGATTTTATTCAAGTATCTCCTACTCGTTTTCGATTTAAAAAGGGTAGTTGGGTTTCTATCGGTATCGATAAACGTAAATTTTCCCTAAGCAATTTGGGTAATCGAAACGGGAGGATTAAAACTGGAATGGTCGGCGGTCGTCCATTTACACATCCTGATTCCCCACAATCTGGTAATTTTTAATAAATCTAAAGAATGTAAAATTTTTTTATTATTAAATTTAATATTAATGAATTAAATATGTGGTAGGTGCCTATTGGATGGACTCTGGTGTCAATTTCCCAAAAATTAAGCTCACAAATCGTCCATGTCATAATAATCAATCAAAATCGAAAAAACGAGGACGCCCACGAAATTCCGGGTCAAATAATTCGTCTTCCTTACCTGATGGTCATTTTTGTTTGACCTCTTTCCATAAATATCAACCTCGCGTGAAAATGATTAAACATGCGACTGATATTAATGATCACGATCAAGAGATAATCACTGCATTTGAAGAAACTACTTTTATTGCTGTTACTCATTATCAAAATGATGCTGTTAATTCCTTAAAGAAAAATTATAACCCTCACGCTAAAGGATTTAAGGATATGGATTCCAAAGATTTGGACTGTGATCAATTATATTATTCTGATGAGACTGAAATTTCAGATAATGAATCCCAAAATGAATTTGATTCCGATTTCGACCGTGCTGATGAAAATGATAATCTTCGAGACAAAATTAGATTAGATAATGATTCTTTTTTTAAGTCGACTTCTTCAAGTGGTAGTATGGATCTTTTAACGTCTGAAAAGTCTGGTACGGCAACAAAAAAAATTCGACCAAACTTTACGAGGCATGTTTCAGCTGAAGAAATTCGAACTCGTCAGACGGGTATTTATCACAGTAATAATCGCACGAAAGTTACAAAATACGCATCGAAGGATCAACATGCTATATCTGAAAATATTATTCCTAATCATGAAACGCATAATTGGTTAGATTTAAATATTAGTTCAAATTTGAAAAATGCGTCTTCTAAACATCGACCAAAACTTGATAAATCCATTTCAATGCCATCTTTCAAATTTTTCGATCCATTTAATAAAAGCCTTATTACTCCCATTTCACCACATAAGATTGATCAACAACCTACCGCAACTGGATTTCCATGGATTACTAAACGTACTCATAACGATTATGATAGGGACACTAATATGACACAAAGGCAATTTAAGTTAAACGCCTTTCAGCCAAAAGAAAGATCAAAAGATGAATCAGATGATGAATTACCGCAACGATGTGCTCCATATCAAAATACACATCAATGGGCATTTCCAGTTACTCCACCAACACCAATTTCTCCTAACGGCAAGGGTTTCACAATCTCCCCTCCTATTAATCCTTATTTGTCTCGTCTTGAACGTGCTGAAAATGAAAATATGAAATTGAGAGAATTCATTCGTGAAAGATACGGTATTGAAGCTGAAAAAGAAGCTGACGCCGTGGTCGCTCTTGGAAGAAATTCATAATAGCTGAAGATTTAAAAAGTATAAATCTTTATTATGTTTTTTATTTATTATAAATAGGATAAATAAGATTATTTACAAATATGAATCTTTTTAGTTCCTACTTGGTTTTTTTGAAAAACATTTTTTTTTTTTTTTTTACTTTTGCTGAAATTCAGAGAGTTAAATTGACAGTTTCTTTTTTTTTTTTTCTTTTTCCTGCAACTTGCTTTTCATAACAATTTTAATTGACTTTACGTTTTAATATTCACGGCACAAGATTTATTTTTTTTTTGTGGCACAAAACATAACGTTGAATAAGTGGAAAAAACTGAAATTTCCAACGCGTAGTCAAATTAGTCATTTTTTTCAATTTATATTCACCTTTAAATGGCGGGCGTCTTTCATTATATATTCCAGTTATTGTAAATTTTATAACGTGCATCTTAGAATTAATTGTATAAAGGAGTTTTCATTTCTTGTTTCTTCATTCAATACGAGGTTTGTTTTTATAACGATTTAACTATTTGTATCCTGAAAATTTAATTAACAATCTTGTATTCCTAAATCATAAACTTCTATTCTTTTGCTAGTGTATATAATAGACTAAATTTTCATTGTATAAATTTGAGTAATATTTTTACTATCTAATTTTGATCAGTGTATATTTTTACGTATTAGCTAGATCAAATTACATCAAGTTATGATTCATTATCAGACGTAAGGAAATTTTGGCAAAAAACTATCATAGTTATTATTCCCGAAAATTTATAAAAGAACCGCTCAAATTGGTGAATCAGATGATTTATTTTTTGAGCGGATTTTTAATAAGTATGCTTAAATCACAGAATTATCGAATGAATTATTTCCAAAGTTAAACTTTATATATAATTATATTAATTTAAAGTATCAGTTTAACTTAGGACATCAAAAACATTGCCTTACCGATATATATATCTCCAGCGTTAATTTTAGTCTAAATATAATCACGTAATACGTATATGATAGTCCCTTTACTCGAGCTTAATTACATTTTACTGTAGTAGATATGTGGATCAAGTGACCGAAATAATCATTTAACGAATCAAACAGTTTAATATTGTTATGTGAATTTTTTCAAAAGAAACTAATTTAAAAATTATTTCCTCAATATTTTATGTCTTATCTGTACCGTCAATTATTGTTTTTGAAAAGGTGGTACTAATATAATTTTTAAATTTTTTGCATTGGTTTTAGAAAATTTAATTATAACCATTTTTATTAATATCCTTATAACCTTGCTGATTTTATTTATGATCATCAGACTTAAACATAAAAAGTTTGATGATATATTTAAAATATACTAGTGGATAAATTTGTTTTTTCTACTTTATTACGATTTAATATAAGTAAAAGGATTACTAGACAACGTCATTTATTGTAACTAATCAGAAAGCAATATAAAATGGCACAATAAAATTAGCCTTATTTTGGACTGCAATAACTTCTCACAAAAGGTACTGTACGATTCTTCACCATTAAATAAAATGACACCATAATTCAATTTCAGAATTTTCTTATAATATTATGATAGATTTATATTTGTTTGATATTGTGGCTAAAATCTCCCATTTTGATGTTTAATTTTCGGAAGGCATGAAACACTTGATAATTTTAATGAAATCTTCTGTTAAGGATGCTCCACCTACAAGGAATCCATCAACATCAAGTTGTTCCGCTGAACGATCGATCATGTATAATGTAAAATAATAATAATAGTAATATAATGTTTTTAGCATCACAATATTTGATTATTCTTTGTATATATTATATTAACGGTTAGAAAAACAAACTTACCAAGTTCTGAAGAATTCGTGCCTTTAACGGAACCTAACATCGGAAATATAGGTGTTGAAATTGTCATATATCAAATAAACAAATAAATATTTGGATAAATTAAGAAGTTTTTTTTTTAGTGTTACCTCCGTAGATAATGCGTGTATCTTGTGCTACTTTTTCGGATACGTTCTTTGTTAACCAATCTCGAATAATAAAATGAACTTCCTGAGCCTAGTAAAAGATTAAAGGATCAACAGTAGTAAATAAATAAATATATATATTCAAATATACTAATTATTCGGTGATTTGTCCATACTTGTTGTGGCGTTGCAACTTTTCCTGTACCAATAGCCCAAACAGGTTCATAAGCAATCACAACATTCTTCCAATCCTCGATTTTTTCAACTATAGCTCGAAGTTGTCTAATCACAACATCCTGAGTTTTTTCCAGATTCTCGATCCTCCAATTTTTCGCCAATGCAGACTATCACTTTCATATCAGATTTTAAGGCATGTCCTACTTTAGATGCAACAAGCTTATATCCATCAAATAAAACGAAGTCCGAATAGGGCATATTAGAATGAGAAATACAAAAATGATGCATTAGACTAGACTATGAGATATGATATACTTCATCCGATTCTTTAAAGATCTCCCGACGTTCAGAGTGGCCCAAGATTACCCAATCAATACCAAGGTCTTTTAATTGTTCAGGACTTTTTTAAAGGATGTAATTTTTTTTAATAGAGGTCATTTGAATTTCAATACATACTAACAAAGACTATTCATTAAAAGCAGACCTCACCTGATCTCACCAGTGTAAGCTCCTTTAGTGCAGTTAAAAGAATTCTGGGCGGCAACATTGATACCCTTACGAACAGATTTTTGGGCCAGGTCGAGAAATATTGACGGCGGGGCGATTGCCACTTCTATAATTTGAAGTAAATTATAGCTATTCCATTATTTTTTTATTTACTATTATTACTATTATTATTTAATTATAATGAACTCTCACCAACGCAATCATCAAATTTCAATGGATTCAGTCTATCTATTATCTCCTTAAGCATAGCTTTAGAACCATTCATTTTAAGGTTTCCTTTGTTTTGATAAATTAATTATTAAACTGCTCTCCAATTAACCATTATAGTTCGTTAACCAGCATACATACCCCCCACAAAGGGTTTGCGGTTGTGTTTGCGTTCGGGATCCATGGCTTTAGATATTTCGAAAAGATCAATAAAGATAACTCTTAATAGAGACGATGTTCTGAGCTTATATACTTTTTTTTTTTGATAATTCCTACTTTGGTTAGTCAGTTTTTGGCACTATAAAATACATTTGTAAAACTGTAAAACGTTATGATTATCAATTTTACTTAATTATGACCATTATCATGCACTTACGTATCACCAAAATTATATGGCCTGATCTGAAATTAACGCCGAATTAAACTCGGTTAGATCCGAATCTAGTTCGTCAATGACGTAGACACAGTATTATCGTTATCGTCGCTACCATGATAATAAACACAGATGTGAGCACAAGGAGTACACCTCTAATTAAGAGAACTCTCCTTATATATTAAATATTTTAGAGTCGATTATTAAAGTACTCGTTTTCTTACCGCCCTAAATATTACGTAGCGTAGCTGATCAATTTATTAATGATCAACTCTACTGTATTGTAGAATTGTAGATCGATTGTAGAATAAATTCTACACGTGTGGCTGCATCTCTAGCCACAACTTCATGTTTATAAATACGTTGTTTTTTTTGTTTTGATAAATTTTACCCTTTGATGACTGCACATTTCGAACTCACCCAACCTCATACTTTCCACTCAAAACATCTGGTGACGAGTTAAGCACCAATGAAAGGCGAGTCCATAGAGCCGGACAAAGACATGGAACGCCGTTAATTACTATATATTTGTGGTGGCAAAAACGTATCAGCAGTAACAAGAAAAGAAATTTTTGGACTATTACTGGATGAGAAGTTAAAATTTTTTTTTTTTTTTTTTTATTATATAATGTCATAGTAGAAACTTTATTACAGTCAGTCCGAAGATTGAAAGTTATCTTATAGTCTACAAATCCAGGTA